AAAGAAAAAAAAAATACTCTTCCAGTTTTTGCAAATTGGTTGTCCTTTAACACTTAGCCAAGCTGTTTAAAATTCTGCCTTAGCTTTCATTTCCTGAATGAGTGGGGCCTGAAGGTCAGCCAGAAGTGAAAGATTAAGGTCTTCTCTGGTTTTTTCTGAGCATGCAGCCCATCCTGGGCATGGGTGTGGACTTCTTCATTCCTTGGTATATGCAAGAGCTTTTAAAAGCCCTTATTCCCCACATATCTCCTTTTCCAAACTCTTCTTTCCCAGGTTCTTTGGTCTTTCTGTTGCTTGTCCTAGGCTGCTACGGCCAATAGTTTTGCCTTTATGTGCCTTCAGCAAATGCCCAAATGCCACCCCTTGCTCCAGAACTTTGGGGAATCACTGGACAGGTGCAAACACACAACCAAATTTTGTTGAGAACAGAGTCTGCATTGCTCCCTCTGGCACTAATAATCTGCACTGGGAGTTCACACTGCTGTCTTCATGAGCACCAGGAATCTCGAGAATGGAGGTCAGGAAGTAAGCAATTTAAAATGCCACGGCGCTCTCCTATTGCAATGCAGCAGCTTCTTTCTTCATTATGCTTTCCTCTGGTGGTTCTAAGTTTTTGGCCAGATTCTGGAGTTCTGCGAAAGTTGATTCTGATAGTTTTTGATAGTTATTGTGGAGGGACAGATCCCTGGAGTTCCCTACTCCACCATTTTTAGTGACTTTGCTCCTCTCATTTTCTTAAAATTACTATTGTGTCCTCCTGTAAAAAACTTACTGTCCTTTAGACATTGATTTTAATAGTATATCATTCTTATGCATATATAAACAGGAAAATATAAGCCAGGTCTATTGCTTAAGATATTCCTAAACTTATTCACGTTCACTGTTTGCCTCCTCTGAATCACTTTTAATATTTTTTTTTTTTGTGAGGAAGATCAGCCCTGAGCTAACATCCATGCTAATCCTCCTTTTGTTTTTGCTGAGGAAGACTGGCTCTGAGCTAACATCGATTGCCAATCCTCCTCCTTTTTTCCCCCAAAACCCCAGTAGATAGTTTTATGTCATAGTTGCACATCCTTCTAGTTGCTGTACGTGGGACGCGGCCTCAGCATGGCTGGAGAAGCAGTGCGTCGGTGCACGCCCGGGATCCAAACCTGGGCCGCCAGTAGCGGAGCAGGCGCACTTAACCGCTAAGCCACCGGGCCAGCCCTCTGAATCACTTTTAAACTCAGAGTCATTGATGTTGAGTTTTCTTACACAACACTGCTCTCTCGTCCATCCAGAGAGTTGGTGATGTAGAATGTCTTAAAAGAGCACTCTCTACCATCATCCCCAGGATTTCACTCCCAGCTGCTGACAACCACACGCAGGCAATGACAAACATCATAACTGACACCTTGACCAATGGTGATTGTCATATGCATCCCAATTTCAACAAAACATGAAGAAATGTGCATCTAATAATTGGCAATATGTGAGATGTATTTTTTTCTGAAAAACCAGCTAAGGAAATGATTGATTTGACATAAGTAAGTCACAGAAAACAATAGAGAGGTGCCATGTTAGCAGGGGCTAGCAGATGGAGGGATCCTGCCAGCCAAGTAGCAGAGGGGAGGAAGAGTGCTCTCAGCAGAACCATCAGCATCACACACAGGGGACCAGGCAGGTCTCCTGGGTGTTCAGAACTGAGTCAGGCATCAGTTGCTTGTGGTAGGAAATTGATTTAAAGAAGTGGGCAGAGGAAGGCTCACAGTTGGAAACTGAAACTACATTCTCTTGGCAAAGAATCTTTCAAAAGATTCTAAGAAACAGAGTAATGTGATGGTATCTTCCTCTTCAAAGATCTCTTAGCAGCGATCTGAAGAACGGATTGGATGAGAAGAACAGACTGTGAGAGTGCAAACCTGCTGTGCACGTACTGGGTGAGCAGGTGTGACTGAAGTGCTGCTGATGAGGTGCCTGGGAGCTGGGCTGTGGCAGAAAGCTGGGAGGCAGGAGTGACAGGAGTGGGGTGATCGAAGGATGAATCTACTTGACAAGAATATGGGTTGGGAAGACAAATTGCTTCTCCTTTGTGTTTTTATTATTGGCAATGTGAGCAAGTATAGGCAGGTTGGACCCCTGACCCACAGAACCAAATACCTGTTCTCAGCTCTGGCTACTTTGTAATCTAGGGGCTCAGTCTCTCAAATTCCAGACACTCAAGTGAATGCAGACATTTTTACCCATCACAGTAGCCTTTTAATAAAACACAGGCTTTAACAGCGCTTGAGATGTGTGACCCCAACACCCACTCGTTTTATTCTTTTGGCCCTTGTCTTCCCTTTTCCAAACTCTCACACTGGGAACAAGGTTTACCCAAAAAACTCTATATTTGTAACTTCACTACTGTCTGACACAAAACACATGAAAATATACCATAAAGTTAAAATTAGCCCTAAGACAGAAGGTTAACAAAAGTATCTAATGTGATAGTTGAGAATAATAATCTAAAGAGGGAACTAAAGTCAACAAGGTTTTCCTCCTCCTGAAACTCCATTTGTTTCATTGCTCAAAAATCATTTTCACTGTTTCAGACTTTAATTTGGAGGAGAACTGTTCTTGCCCTATATCTTGTGCCATATCAAGCATTCAGGAACGCTCCCTCATTAGGACTGAGTTATGGGCACTTCATGTTATGAATGAGTAGGAGAAAACCAAACTGATCTTCTAGCCCTGACAGTGCTTAACAACACAAGAGCACATTGTAAACATTTTGAGCCTCCTGAATTTCTAAAGACTGATGTATTTAGAAAGTCCACGTGGAGTAGACTTCATTTGAACTCAGCTGTGCTTAACACGGGAATATCCTTGGAAACATGAGAAATAAAAAGATTCCAGCGGGAACGCCTTCCGTGTGATGGTTCTACTCAGAATACCCAAGACTCAGGAAGGCTCAAATAATTATTTGAAGCAGATCCCTAACAATGACAAATGATTAAGAACAACTGTGGTGTATTTATTTTGAAGAAATAGTAGAGTTAGGAAAAAGCAGTAAGTGGAGACATTGAAGAAATGACTATGAATGACTACTGTCACAAAAACTAAACTTTAAATTGGTTTATTATTTTTTAAAAAGTCTTTAATTTGCCCTCAAATGTCACAACAAATCCATACTTTGCTGACTATAACCTCTCCTCTCTCTTTTTCTGGAAAAGGGAAGAAAATTCTTTAATCTAAAAGTGATTATTAGCTACTGGTTGACACATTTTTAAAATGTAGGCCCAGCATCTCTTTCAAGCTCAATCCCAAATGTCAAGGGCATGCCACTGTTCTTCTTCAGTAGCATTATTGTCTTGGAAACTCAACTTCGTTTTAATAATTATATTTCTATTTATTGACATCTGAATCTACTAATCATCTCACTAAATTATTTTTATGAGAATATAGTTCTTCTATATAAATATTTATTTTGCATTCCCTAATTGATTAGAGAGGGCTTTAATAGTGTTTTTATGGCTTCCTAAACAAATAAGAACTAAGAAGTTTGTCCTAGGCCTTTACTCTGGGTGTGCATGAACCCACACTATATGTGGTCCTGGGTTTTACCCTTAATAGATAATTAATCAATAGTGTAACAACAACATCGTGAACCCTCTCTGAGTGATTCTAAAGCAGTATGTTTGTATTTCTAGAAAACCTATTGACTATCCCAGGGTGCATCATTAGAAATCACGTCTGGAATTGACCGCAGAAACTCCAGCAGCAGTTTGTGGAGCATTTGGTGTTTGGACCCAATGTCCGGTGAACGAGAAGCCAAGAACAGATGTGAGATGGAGGCCACGTTTGAGTAGGGACAGTGATTTAACAAATGGAATTGACCAGAAATGCCTGCCCCAAATTGCAGGACACTTAACGAACAAAGCCAATGCACACTGAGTGTTTTCATGCATTTTGCACTGTGAGCTAGCAACTTAATACCCCGGCAGATCTACTAGTATAAATCTTACCTTTCTTCTAAAGAGGATCCAACCTCTTCACATTTAAAAGCCTTTCTTTTTGGAATACTATTGAACAGAGAAAAAAAGAGCCTGCAACAAAATAGGACGAAGCAAGATACTACCACAAGATGGCACTGCTTTAGCAGACCTAGAAGAAAAGCTAGCGTCGGGGAGCTCGCGGGGAGCGCGGGGTCCTCTGGCCCCGCGGCTCTGCGGCGTTTGAGGACGGCCGCGGACCTGGCCCGGCCTCCGCGCGCGGGAGCTAACTGCATTTAGGGTGGCCAGCGGCTTAGACGCTGCGACCTGACTCCTCCTCCCCCATTTACTCTGCCCTAATGTCCCTTTGGTCAGGAAGCCCCAGCCGCGATGCAGAGCCTCGACCCCCAGGGCCGGCGGGACTCCGGGACCCCCGAGGATGGCGGCTAAAACAAGCCCCGATTTCCTGAAACGTGAGAGGCTGAGCGGGCTCCGCGCCAGCGGGTGGGTGCGAGGCAGCCCCCCCACTGCGCCCTCCCCGCCGACCAGACCAGAGTCCCCACGACGAGATCTGTGGCTGGAGACTTGTCCCCGTGTTCTGTCCTCCCCCGGCGTCCCTCCCTCCTTCCCTCCGACGATGGGAACGGGCCCGGGACACGCGCGCCCGGGCCAAGTCCTGGTTTTGATTTCACTCGCGGCTCCGAGGAACCAAGAGGCTCCCACCCCACAAACAGGAAGGAGAGAAGGACTGGAGTGCGGGCAGAGGGAGGGTCATTCCCAGCAGTGCTGCCTGGGCCGGGCCGGACCGGGGGCCGGGGGCGGGAGCAGGCACCTCTGCCCTAACGCGCGGGTGGGAGCGGAGCCTCGGGGTGGGGCAAGGAGGAGGGCGGCAAGGAAGGTTCGAGGGGCGGCCCCGGGGGCGGGGCGGGGCGGGGGCTCCCAGGGTGCGCCGCCTGCCGCCCCCCCCTCCCCGCGCCCCGGGGTGCCCCCGCGGTTCTGGAGCCGGGGCGGGGTCTGCGCGTCAGCCCGGGCTAGAAAAGGCGGCGGGCCCGGCCCAGCGAGCTGACAGCCGCGCTCGGACACAGCCTGGCCCGACGCCGCCATGAGCGCCGCGCTCTTCAGCCTGGACGGCCCTGCGCGCGGCGCGCCCTGGGCCGCGGAGCCCACGCCATTCTACGAGCCGGGCCGGGCGGGCAAGCCGGGCCGCGGGGCCGAGCCGGGGGCCCTGGCCGAGCCGGGCGCCGCTGCCCCGGCTATGTACGACGACGAGAGCGCCATCGACTTCAGCGCCTACATCGACTCCATGGCCGCCGTGCCTACCCTGGAGCTGTGCCACGATGAGCTCTTCGCTGACCTTTTCAACAGCAACCACAAGGCGGGCGCGGCGGGCGCGAGCGCGGGCGCCCTGGAGCTGCTGCCCGGCG